GAGGAAAATGACACTTTAAAATGTAAATGTATAAAAATGAAATGCAGAAATCATCCCAAAATGTTTGAGATTTGACAGCGTTCTGTTCATGTGTCCATGTCTGCCTTTAATTTCACTCCATTATGTGGTCAAACCTACAAAACTGTTGTCCAGTAGGTGGCGTTTAAATACATAAATACATATAGATTTATCATTTTTAGCGTTTGTTGCCTTATATTCAAGGTATAGGATATGGGTATAAGCAGAGTCTAAATGTAAATCATAATTTTGTTTGATTTTTCTTACTAATTTATATTTACCTTTATTTTTCATTTTATTTTATTTATTTTTTTACTTTTTTAAAAATGTTATAAATGTTTTTAGTTGCCAGGTTCACAGAGAATCATATCAAACACTGTCTAGCGTCTCTGTGCATTGGTGCCATCCAGTGGTCAAGAGTGTAATGACAGGTCCGTGTCAGAGATCAGTGGTCAATGGCCGCCACCCTTATGGTCCATTCTGGGGTTTTTTTCAGCTTCTTGATAACTAGCCGTTATCTTCTCGCACTGCTAACTAACCAGCCAATCAAATCGCACAATACAGGTCCATCGCATACATCATCGTGTTATAATGTTTTAAACCTTTTTTTTTTTTTTTAAGTAGAGGGGCAAAGAGGGAGCCCAGCCCTTTACAGGAAGGGCTTGAGATCCTGCTGTGCCCCCTGCTGGTGTTGGAGCTCATAGGATCTCGTGACATTTAGTTGTCAAAATAAATATGATGTGATGTCACATTGTTAGTGTCCATATAAGATTACAACTAAAATATAATTTTAAATTTGTGCTTCTCCTTTTTAGGTTGAAAAGATTCGTCAGGTGAAGGCCAAGTCTCTGTACCTGCAGGTGGAGAAGTTGCACCAAAGTCTGACTAAGTTAGACAGCACTATAGCTGCTGTTAGCCAGGTGCTGGACGAGGGTCACCACCTGGATGTGCTGCTGGCGAGGGAGCGAATGCTCACGCAGATCCATGAACTGAAGGCCCTCAGGGGTCTGCTGCAGCCACAGGAGGACGACCGCTTCATGTTCACTCCTCCAGATCAGGTCCGTCCTGCCGATGTGAGGTTTGAAGATTTAAGATGAGAGCAGTGTAAATGTATAAACTAACATCCGTTCCCTCACAGGCCCTGTACATAGCCATACAGTCGCTGGGTCTGATCAGCAGCGGAGCCTTCGCCCCAGTCACCAAAGCCCACGGGGAGGGTCTGAAAAGTGCACTTCGGGGCAAGCCCGCCTCCTTCACCGTGATCGGGTACGATCACGACGGCGAGCCGCGGCTGTCCGGCGGGGACGCGGTGTCCGCGATCGTCATGTCGGTCGGCGACGGCGGCCTGTCTGCGGCCGAGGTCACAGACCACCAGAATGGCTCTTACACCATCAGCTACATACCAAAATGTGAGGGGGAACACCTCGTGTCGGTGCTGGTGTGTAACCAGCACATCCAGGGTAGCCCGTACAAAGTCCTGGTGAAATCTGGGCGGAGTTACGGCTCACTGGGTTCCCAGGTGTCATCGTTTGGATGCGAGGGAGAGGGCGACGGTCAGTTATGCCGTCCGTGGGGCATCAGTGTGGACAAGGAGGGGTACGTGGTCGTGGCTGATCGCAGCAACAACCGCATACAGGTATGGCTTTAACTATGGGTACAAGAACATACAGTATACAGTAACACTTCAACATACAAGTATTCCGAGATACGAGAAAGCCTTCGAGCAAATTTTTGCTTGTTATTAGCACTAATAATGGAGTTTTTTAGTTTTTTATTTCTTATGGGGAAAAAAATGATTTGCGATACGAGCATCTCGAGTTGTGAGCTCGATCATGGAACGGAATATGCTCGTATCTCGAGGTATTACTGTATAAAAAATAACAGTTTGGCCTCCAATATTGTACAGCTGTCAGGTATGAAGTGCCTCACAAATCCCTGTAATTATTTTCAATCTTTTCATATTTGTCCTGTGCTCCGCAGATTTTTAAGCCTTGCGGTGCCTTCCACCATAAATTTGGCTCTCTGGGTTCTCGGCCCGGGCAGTTCGATCGTCCGGCGGGGGTGGCGTGTGATGGTCAGAGGCGAATCATCGTGGCTGATAAGGACAATCACCGTGTGCAGGTTTGAAAACCGACAAATTATTAGCTATTAGCTAATAGCTTTGTTAAGCGCTTTTCACAAACACATTTGAATTGTGTGACAGGTGTTTACTTTTGAGGGCCAGTTCCTGCTCAAGTTTGGAGAAAAGGGTACCAAAAACGGGCAGTTCAACTATCCCTGGGATGTGGCGGTCAACTCCGAGGGTAAGATCCTGGTCTCAGACACCAGAAATCACCGCGTGCAACTCTTTGCCCCGGACGGCTCTTTTCTCAACAAGTACGGCTTCGAAGGGGCTCTGTGGAAACACTTTGACTCTCCCAGAGGGGTGGCCTTCAACCACGAAGACCACCTGGTGGTGACCGACTTCAACAACCACCGTCTCCTGGTCATCCGGCCCGACTGCCAGTCGGCCCGCTTCCTGGGCTCCGAGGGCACCGGGAACGGACAGTTCCTGCGGCCCCAGGGCGTCGCCGTTGACCAGGAGAACCGCATCATCGTGGCCGACTCCCGCAACCACCGGGTCCAAGTGTTCGAGCCCAACGGAAATTTCTTATGCAAATTTGGCACACAGGGGAGCGGCTTCGGGCAGATGGATCGCCCCTCCGGCGTGGCAGTGACGCCTGACGGAGTGATCGTGGTCGTTGACTTTGGAAATAATCGCATTCTCAAATTCTAAAATAGAATAGTTATTTTGTGTCTTCTCTCGCTCCATTTGTCCTTTTTGCATTTTTTTTTTTTTTTTTTTTTTTTGGATGAAGGAAATGGAGGAGAGAGAATAAATCAACCGTCAAAATAGTAGGAGAGCTCAGAGGGGATTGAGAGCAAATAAAAATTAAGGGAAAATAAAACTATAGAATACTATTTGTTATCATTAACACTGATATTCTCCTCCGGCGTGTGACTCCGGCGTGCACGGCAGAGGGGACCTCTACAAATTGATAATCAGTAGAAGAAGAGCCATATTTCCCTTCCTCAGTCTCAGCTGCTCTGAATTCTCTCTGCACAGCTCTCCTTAAGTATCCATCTCAGGGAATTAACTCGCTTTTCTTGAAAAAAAAAAAAAAAAAAATCTTACAGCCTCTGCTCCACACCTACCTCATTTATGAATGTACACATAGTCACCGAGCAGAGGTTTTAGTCCGTGAAGTTTTACAAAGAAGAAAAGAAGTCTAACTCTAGAGTTTGTTATTTAAGAGAGACGAAAAAAGAAGAAAAAAAAAAAAAACCACGATAAGAGACTCATCAGTTGATATTTGCACAGGATTAAAGGAATTCTTGCTGTGCATTTTGAAATGAGTTAAAGTTGAACCTCCTGAATGTTGTTGCTGAGACAATACTCAGACCACTGTAGAGGCTGCATCATTTGCCTCCCTGTCATGTGTGTTTTTTTTTAAGTGAGGTAATCCGTTTACCGGCGCATTCTCGATTCTCGTCTCTCGTTTGGCTCCGTGGGATCGCGACGCGGCCGCCCAGGAAGAGAGCGCAAACTTAACGAAATCAAATTTAACCTTAGGTCACAGTGGAACTGATCGAAATGATCAGTATTTCTTTTTTTTATAGACTCTCCTTCTAGCTTTACTAGGCAGAGGCTGATTTATTGTAAGAATAAATATAAATTTGAGTTCGTAAAACCCCATGAATGATCCCTGTAACAAGATTAGTCCTTCCATGAAATACGTTTAATCATAAATACATCCCTGTCCACAACCAGTTTTTGATAGGACTGGATTTATAAATTTTTTTTTTTTTTTTTGAGTAGTCGAGACAATGCGTGTTGTTACCATCCAATCGGGTTGGATGAACAGCTACAACGCAAAGCTTTGTATGCAAGGACAGCAGCGTTTCCTCGTGAGAATGGAGGAGCCACCAAAGTATTTTGGAGAAAAAGCTTCAAAGATACCTGCGTAATAACGACGTCGACGTAGAGATTTAAACGAGGCATGCTGTGTAACAAAAGCCTCAGTTAAAGACCCCCCCCTTCCTAATTTGACCATCCAGAGGACCCTATCGATAAAACTAGCAGATCTGAATTTAAAGTTCTCTGGTCTAAGATTGTGGTTGAAAGCCCCCCCCTCGCCCCCCGTTCCTATGGCTTCTAGGGCCTGTAGTCACGTGGCGAAGCCCTGCCCTATTTATGATGTTCGGAGCTGTGAAGACACCTCCACATTGAGCGCTCGTAGAAAAACTGCTCTAAAGATGAAGGTCTATAGACCATCTGTCGGAGTTTACCAAAGCTAGAATTTCTGCACAACGGCCAACTAGATTTGGCAAATGAAAAAAAAAACAAACAAAAAAAAATTTCTCCAATAATCACTGTCCCTGGGAAGTTGACAAAACTCACAGATCGAGTTCAAAGCACTGTCCGCAGAGCGCGTGCTTGGTTGCGTCGTACAGTTCCACATCCTGCCAAGACCTGACGCCATCATTGGTTTAATGTGCGTTTTGGGAAAAAAAAAAAACCAAACACCTGTCGGTCGGTCTGCTGTGACGTTTGATCAGACGATACTTGCACCAAAGAATACCCCCTTTCTTCCTTTTGCTTTTATGAATTTTTAGTCCGCCTGCAGGCTCAAAGTAGCATTTCGCTTTGGCCTTTGTATCCAAATTTATTCTCCGTAGAAAGAAAGAAAGAAAAAAGAGTCTTTGTCGTGAAAAGCATTGTGGGGTTTTAAATCCCCTTGATCTCCTTAAATCTTTGTCCCACTGGAAGCACTAAGACAATTAAAGGTTCTTTTTGCCACCTTCTTAGCCTCTCAAAGAACCATGGGACCCAAGAAAGGAGTCGCTAACTGGGCCTCGCCTCTAAGGAAGAGAGCCCGTGTGCACATTAATCAGGATTTTCATCCTCATATCTCAGATGACCTGTACTTAAACGTTTTTTTTTTTTTTTATTTCCACTTTTTTTTTCCTTGTATACCTCAACTGTCAAATACCTCAAAACTCGTCACTCGTAGCTACTGTGCATTGAAACATTCAAATACCTCAACTTGTTGCTCTTGTGTTGAATACCTCATTTTTTTTGCTCTGTATTTTAAATCATAACTTGCCAGTTATTTATGCATCGCAAATATACCTCATACTTTAAAAAAAAAAAAATCTACTTGTTTTTTACAGCGCAGTACACGTCTCATTACTCTAGGGACCAAAGATCGCGGTACTGTTTTTTTTTTTTTTTCTCGAGTTGACTAACACTTTGTATTGATGATCATCACTCCATCTCACGAGCCTTGAGACAGCCTTTTGGTTTGTTGAATCTACTATAAAGACGCCTGCTAACCGTTGCCTTGTGTCACCAAGAAACCAAATATTTCAGATGGAACCGTGCCAAAATGAGCCGTGAGACTTCAGTGCCAAACAGGGCTGGTGTTTGGACCACACTGTTTGTAGACAAGAAAGGTCACTGGGCCGTGATATCATAGATACAGATGTAAAAAAAAAAAAAAAATCCGTGTACCGGAGGATGGATCCTCGCCTTCTTGACGAGAACGCGCTTAAATGGGCCGTGTCCCGATTTTCTTAACCTCGACATAAAAATAATCATGGTAACATGTAGGGGTGGCTCGATGTGACTTTTTTGTGTCCGACACGATAATGCAACTTGGAATATCTGCCGATACCTATATCAGTCCGATACCTTCTTTTCTATTGCTCAGGCGATGATGTCCTTGTTTACGGCATGTTGCGCAAAGTTAAGTTGAGCATTTGGGCTATAGTTGTTTTTTTTAAAGTTCGATCCTGAAATTTTGACCAATAAAGGATCGTAACTGATCTCGAGTATCGTATCGAGCCATCGCTAATAACATGTCAGACATTGATTTTTTTTTTTCTGTGCGAGCGGTAAGAGAATGTAGCTAGTAGTTTGATTGCACAAGAACGTACTCTTATTTCTCAGCACAATATACAGATATTCCAGTGTAGGTTTAGGGTGCTTGGCAATGACTTGGTGACATCCGTAAAAACTTGGGCTACATCCACACTGCTACATCCCGACACGGCAACATTAGCCGCATAATGCTGGCTCTTCCGTGTCTGAAGATCGTACGTCTTTTCCTTTTCCGTCGACATTTAGATATCCTTAATTATTGCAACAAGTACAATGCAACATTTTTCTCATATGCCACGCTCGGGCTACACGAGCGCTAGCAGAGGACACACTGGTTACCAAATTCAAACATGAAACTTGTTTCCCCCGAAACAGTTGAAAAGCATTTTTAGGCGACGACACAACATCGAGCGTTAGCATAGCATTGCCACTTTCTTCAAAAACTTAGCAGTGTGGATGTAGCCTCAACTTTTCTAATTGTGGTTTAAGCAAAAAAAAAAAAACAACAAAAAGTGGGTGACAGCTGGTTATGTTATGCGAGTGGAGATACTAGCGCATCAACAACAAAAAAACCATCAGACCATCACAACCAAGTGGGTGACAGCTGGCTGCGCTGTTATGCGAGTGGAGATACTAGCGCATGGTTGGTGAGCCAGTTCCAGTTCGCACACTCTGCTGCTTTGAACCCAACATGGAGATTCACCAATGAGATTGGTTTTGTTTGCTTTTCAGTATTACTCAGTGAAATGTTCATTCAACGTTGCATCGGTTGTTAAGAATTTGCGGAATTCTATCTTTAAGATCCTTAGGTCTTCACTCTTAAAGAGATTAAAAAAAAAAAAAGTTGTATTTTTAACCTTTATTTTGTTTTCATTTTGTTGCATGCTTTAAAAAGTCCTTGTATTATACCGACGTCTCTCAGATAGGTGTTGAAAACTCAAATGAGGTGGGTAGCTGACTATTGGGATGATTTTTACCAAAATATATACCCAAAGATGTGTATGTGTGTGTGTCAATTATCGGATGAAATTAACCCTTTTTGACCTTGGCGATTGTATTTCCTGTTTTCGAGAGGCCAATCACGCCTCAGCACCGGAGAACCACCGGTGGCAGAGTTTTAAGAATCACTACTCGGCCTCTTTAACTCTTGCGAGGGATTGCGACACATAGCCTTGTCTTCACCTTTGACCCCTTTAACTAAAGTTATAGTGTTGGTGTAGATTTAATTTAACAACGAAGATGAGTTCATTTAACCTAGTTAACGGAGTCTGGTCGTCTCTAGCGTGTCGACGGCTGCTGCGCCCGTGATTGGTTGATCGTTGGTATCGTTCCCGGTTTTACTTCCGGCCTCTCGCCGCTAGGAGGGAGAGAAAGCAAAGCTGCACCAGGTAACACGTACAAGGTCGTAGTCCTCATTTTAATGATTGTATATTCAAAAGAAAACTTTTAAACATTTAGAAAGGAGAAGAAAAAAAAAATTAAACTCAGGTAGTTCTCAGCAGCCCTGCTCTGCAGGTGTCTCTTTGAAACATGTCTTGTAGTGATGATGTAATGCCCCCGCCCCCCCATGTTATGACCTATCCATACTATCCTGATTCTTTTGTGCCCATTTACATATTATAAAAAAAAAAATTCTCAATTTGAAAAAAAAATATTGGTTTTAATTAGTTCCCCCCTGATTCATTTTTTTTTTCCTTTTTTTTTTTTTTTCTTTTCACAAACCAGTACAAATACTACACCCCACTCGATCCCCATTGGCCCTAGAATGTATTTTGTGAAGAAAAGGGTTAAATGTGATCTTGTTGGTGTTCACTCCCCCGCAGCCAGCTGCTGGAAGTCCACAGAGGAAAATGTTCAAATTGTCTTCTGTAAATTCATCTTGCTAAATATTACACCAGCATAAAGTCTGACCTTTTTTTTTTCTTTCTTGTTGTTGTTCTTTAATCAGACGGGATACAAAACATTGATGGATTCATATTCCTGTTTGCTCCGCAGCAGCTGGACGCGTGCGCGGAGTGATGGTTGTGTTTGTGCGCTGCATCTGTGTCGTCTGAGTACAAAGATCCACTGAATGTAACCTCCACAGTCCAGGAGGCGGGGAGAGCCGGGGGTGACCTGCTGAGTTTAGATGGGTGCTGCTGGCACTTCCATGTTCATGCCAGTGTGTGTGTGTCTGTGTAATTCCGGCAGGTGTTTGCTGGTACAGCTTCCATCCATCCTAACACACACTCACACATTCCACAGAGTGGGAGCGGAAGTGCAAATGTCAGGTCTCCAGTCTAAATAAGGCACGGGAGACAATAATATATTGGCCACCTGCTGCTCTCGCTGTGCTCTGTGGACTTTAAACATTTCCTATGCAGTTTTGTTTTTTTGTTTTTTGTTTTTTTTTGTTTACACCTAAATAAAGTTGTATTTCTTTGAATTTCAACTGTTGCCTTTTTTTCAACAGAACAGATTTGATAAAAAAAATTTAAAAAGTCCGGTAATTAAACTGCATGATCTCCCACCTTCCAACATGGCCGCCACACGTTTC